CTAATTATATTTTAGATTTTTTATATTTAAAATGAGATGTTTATCCTATATTTGATTGTGTTTATCTGCATTAGTTACACGAATTCAAATATGAGATGAAATCGGATACGGATGAAACCGTTTACGGATGAACGGGTTTAAGAGTTTTTAAGAGTTTTAAGAGTTTTAGCCAAATGTTTTATAAGATAGTATAGATATTTTAATTTAATTTTATATTATTAAATATTACAAAACTTACGATTTATTTTTAATAAATATATTTTATACTCTTATAATAAAGTGTATTTATGATATTTAATAATATAAGATTAAATCCAAAAAAAATTCAATATTAGGTTCATTTTGAACGTATTGACGAGACAATTATAATTGTGTAATTTGTAAAAAAAACGTATTTTTATGTATTTTAGTTATTATATGATTATCTGTTTAAATAATAAAGTTATAAATCAAATTCTCAAATTTAAATTCGCTTTTTTATGAGAAAAAAATTCATATTTTATTTAAAAACTGTTTTAAAAAATGCAAAATTTATATTTATTTATTTTTCTATTAAAAATTATTACGAATATCTATAACATCGATTTTGGTTTTAAATGATTTCTCAAATTTATTCCTATTAAAAGCCATTTAAGTATTTATTTATCAGTAAACCAAAAAAAAAAGTCGGGTTGGCATGGGTTTAGCTGTTTACGGGAGGGACGACCCGTTAGACCCGATCTATCCGGCTCGCTAAAAATACGGGCGTGTACAATCATTATCGAGAAAATGGACGGACACGAGTTTGTTCGTTAAAATTAACGGGTGGACATGGATAATGTAAAAATAAATATCGACAGACCCGTCCGGCCCGTTTATGTTTTATAATAAATATTTTTTTACCATTGATTAAAATTATATTAGTATATTTTAAAATTAAATTATTAAAGTTAAAGGATGAGAGTTGGGACTCTTTGGTTTTTCTTGAAAACCTAAAAGGTTCTACATTATCTTTGTTAGCATTCTTATGTCAAAAGTCCAAATCAATCAACAATGGATAAAGTCAGTAGTTGCTTAAAGTTTTAATTGCCACGGTGTTTTTCCTTTACTTTTTGGTTTCACATTTGTTAGATTAAATTGGTTCTAAAATTTACTCTCGACCTCATCTTGAACTAATTTAATAACCACCCTTTATATGGCAAAATAAACAAAATCAACGGCCCAAAATTTATTTTGTAAGAATTTATAACAATTAGACGGTTTGTATTTGAAACTTCAAATATCTGTGCGTGTGTGTAGACAAATCATATACAAACATGAAAATGTTAAAACCAATCAATTAAGATATTTATGGAAATGATCAAGATTCATTTACTATGATTTGAATATTTATAGAGAATGATTAGAGTTCATTAATTATGATCAACGATTTATATTAGAAAACAATCGATATATGAAACCAGATATTCGTCACACTTGATGAATGGCTAAGATTGATTTGTAGGTTTCTATCTGATTTGTCCCGAGTGTACATAACTTTGTAATTACCAAGACCTGTATTTGAATGAGGCCAACTTTGCTTGCCGAACTCTTAGGTTGTTTTAGATGTCTTATTTGAAAAAGTCTTCAAGAGAAAACGAAAGCAAGTCACGTCAGCATATCGTGTGTCCCATACTTGTCAAAGCTTATTATACCTTCTAGAGGCTACCACGTAAATTTTTTACTCATAATTTATATTAAGACATAAATGGTACAAATTTTCAGTAGTGTTTGGATTTTTTTCAAGACAACTCATATGATTTGATTCTCATATGAGTACTCACATAATGCAGTACGACACATTTTCATTTCTTTTCTCTGGTTTTGTTTTACGAATTCGTGTTGTTTTAAAAGAGTGAGAGATTATCCTTTTGTTTATCAGTTTTATGGAATGTTATACCGCATGTTCAACGCTTATTCTGTATTTGAATATTTTATCAGTTTTATGGAATATTATACCGCATGTTCAACGCTTATTCTGTATTTGAATATTTTATTAGTTTGTTATGAGTTATTTTTATAAAGTTCAAACGTATTAGTACTTAGTAAGTTGTAAGTATTGTATAATATAACAAAAATATTGTATCAATATCCTGTGATTGACATTTTGAAACTATGTTAAAAACTAATATATATATATATATATATATATATAGTTGGGTTCACGTGAGACCAATATGTTTTTGTAAGACTCGTGAGACCATTTTTTTACACTTTAAACTTTACAGCAAAACGCTGTGAAGATAAAAAACCGAACCTTAACAGTAAAAACACTGTGAAGGTTACCTTCATATTTTGCTGTGAAGTTTCAAGTGTAGAAAAGTGGTCTAACGGATGTCATGGAAACAGACTGGTCTCACGTGATCCTAATTTTATATATATATATATATATATATATATATGAGAAAAACATCAAGAATTTAAATATTAGGTGATTATAAATTATACTTCATACATTTTATTCTCTTTTTATCTATTGAACATTTATTTATGGTGTACAATATAATTGTAGCTTGTTATGATACTACGTTTTTTTTTTATTAACCTGAATATCAAATCTGTTATGTGAGCGACTAATCCACATATGACCACTTGTTTTGTGGGTAGCCTAGAGTTACCGTATTTGAACTTCCGTGACTACAAGAGGATTTTTATTTTTCCTTAGATGATGGGAATAAACACCTACTACAAATGATTACCTTGTGTAATTCTATACTGATAATATACAATAACTGAACTAAAATTCATTATAAATTCTTGGTACCTATATACAACGATGGAGTGATAGAGAGTGACAGATTGTCATTTATCTCAAATTTCTTTTGTTTTTATACCACATCGTCAAAATGAATACAACGAGGCAGGTTTTCATTTGACACCAGTGTCGTGTATCACATTGAGTAGACGGGGTTGTTTGTGTACTTAATTCGGGTGATTTTTCGCTTATTAATTCGTATTCAATTGGACAAAGCTTAAATCCAGAAGACCTTAATTCATCCTTTACATACTTGGATATGTGTAGAGATACGATTAACGCATTTGGTACTCATGATTTGAAACAACAAAAATCAACTTCCAGTATATATCAGTGAAGGCCCTATATTAAGGGGTTGTTTGTTTACCTCTTAATAGTTACATTAAGAGGCAACATCTGAATCGTTAAGAGGTGAATCTTGTTTGGCAAAAAAAATCGGCCTCTTAATGGTTCTAAAACCATCTGAATGATTTTGTATCATGGGCCTCTCCTAACCATTCAGCGCCCTAATTTTGTTGTAAATAATTACAAAATAATTAAATTTCAGTTTGCGCTATATCATGAGATCCTCTTAATCATCCTGACCATTTAATTATTCTGCAGCAAATCATTCAACAACTGTCAAACATCCCTTAAAATGGTGTTTGAATTTGTAATTATATCGATATTGAGATTCTGGGCGTTTGGACAAAACTTGTATTTTGAGTTTTTAGACGAGACGATTATGATTATGATAATCTGGTAAAAAAAAGCTGTTATAAGAATGCTGATGTTCCAGATAAATGTAAAATTCTTAATTGTGCTTAACTTTTGAGGCGGATTATCGTATTCTAATTATTTAAGTCGCAACAGCCACTTGGATGCAGAATTTCAAAATCATCATTTTAGCGTTACAAATTAGAATGAATAATAAATCATAAGCAGTAACGTGTCTTCACCATACATTTCGGTTTTGAACAAGAACCCAATCCTTCAATCATGCATCTTGTTTCGTTTTATGCTCTGCCGATTTTTATTTCAATTTCATGTTTTTGTGCGTTTATTAATCTTATGAAATATTTTGTTGTATTAATTAGTAAGTCGCGAGGTCTGTTCTGTATTTGAACGTTTATCAGTTGGTTAACAGTTAGTTTTATGAAGTTCAAAGTAGGGTTTTGAAACGTTTTATGTGTGCAATAATAAGTTGTGAACTTCAATTTTTAGAACATTGTAAGGTAATGTTCTATAATATATAAAATAGAAAGCAATTAATGTAGCGAACAGTTAGGTAACGTTCACAAATCAGTTTTGTTGTTACATCTCTCACGTGTCTTAAAATCTATTTATTTTGGTCCTAAAAATTAAAGATCTGATTATTTCTGCACTTGATAACAAATACCATGATTTTAATCTCTCTGCCTGAAAATCCGATATATTTTTAGAATAAACAGATAAAAATATACTCAACGATTTCAATCATACATTTGTTACATATCGTACATCTACTCTTGCACATAGAAGAACCAAATGGAGGTACAAACGTACAATACAGGTAATACTATTATTTGTTCAAAAGATTGGAGAAACCACACTCAACGAGGTGGTACTCGTTATTTTTAGTTGTAATTATAGTTACTGTTTCAAAACTTTCAGGAACGCTTTTGATGACGGAACACTTCATGGACAAAACACAATCCTATAGTTGGTACCACTAGGGCAAGTAACTAGACCAGTCTGGTCATCATTAGGATAAGTATAAGTATCTGGGCATCTCTCTTTGAAGAATTTAGAATACTCGTTTGGTCCACACATGGTCGCAACAGGGCAACAATATTGAGCAGTTTTGAAAACTACGCAAGCGTTGTTGCATCCTCCTTTGGTTCGTAATTTTTCAGGGCATTGACCGATGATGTCAGCATTACACTTTATTGTCTTGCATGGAGCACCAACTGGGCTAAATTCCATTGGAACATTAAATCCATTAATAACAGACATATCTATAAAATCAAGATTGTTGGCACCAGGAATCAACTCAGCTACCATGTTGGGTGGTGCCCCCAAATCTTGGCATTCAAGCATTCCGTTGCAATCACCAGTATCACATTTCCCTTTTCCGTTGGCATCAAAATTGCAACCAGTTCGTCCCCATATGCGAGCTTTATCTGTTCCAGGTTGCACTTTGACCGGCCAACGTTCACCAGTTTCAAGTCGTTTACCTCCACCAGGTGAAGCAGCGGCCCAAACAGTGTATGGACACTGGTTTACGATATCAAAATCAGTTCCTTGAACAAAAATAAAGCAACAGATATAGATAAAGATAAATAAAATAAGACATTTTTTAAGACGAGACATGTTTAGAATATATGGTAAAGTAGGCTTTTAAGTGTGGGGTGAAGTGGCTTTGATTGAAATGGTTTATATAGGGGTAGAGTGGCCATAAGTTACCTATACAAGTGTTATAATTTCACAAAGTGCACTAAAAAACAAAGTTAGGCATGGATTTTGAAAATAACACTTTTAGTCCATGTAGTTTCAAAATTATAAAATGATCATTGTATTTTGTAAAAATGTTCAGGTTTAATCCCCTCTGACAACGGTTAAAAAAATTCACTAAATGAGAAGACAATCTCGTTCTTTTATCAATTTTTTTTTTGTCTTTTACCCCACCAAAAACACAAGAACCAAAATTTAAAAATCGATTTTGATTGGGTAAGAGATAAAAAGAAATTGATGAAATAACGAAACTGCTCTTTATTTAACGAAATTTTTAAACAACTGTTAGAGAGAGGAACCAAATCCAAACGTCTTTGCAAACTAAGATGACCATATTGTAACGTCGATATTATAGGAACAAAAATGTCATTTTCTACAAACCATATAGGCCAAAATTTGTAGTTTACTCTAAAATAAAAGATATATAATAAACAAAAGGAGAAAATGACCAAAAAACCAATCATTTAACCACTGGAAGTAAATGGTCGTTAGTTACATAGACCAAAACATTACGAAAATACAAACTTTGAGGTTTTTTTTGGAATAAGAAAACTATGGGTACTAAATCTAAGACAATTTTAAAACCACGGGGACCAAATTTGTAATTTACTATATTATAAAACATTTGACAAAAACTCTTAAAAGCCTCTTTTTTATGCATGGAGTATTCTTTATTGATGCATATTATTTAAAATTCAAGATTACAAATAATTATACGTAAGTACAACTTATTAAAGCTACATGTTTGAATTTGTGGCTAACTGCGGATAAACATAATCAAATAAAGGATAAACATCTTATTTTAAATATAAAATATCTAAAATATAATTAGAATAATCATTGAGTTCTAACAAAATACTTAATTATTATCTTTATAAAAAATTATAAAAATTAAACACAAAATAAAAAAATAAACTAAAGAAATACACAAAAAAAACGAAAATTTTTAAATAGTTACTTTGGTACTAATATCCATATTATTTTCAATTTTTTTATGATATCTTAATATTTATATTTTATTCAAAAATAAAAACATTATTGCTTTTCAAAACAATATAAATCGTATTATAATATCGACTGAACAAAAAAAAGACGAAACATTAAAATCGAGATGTATCTCGATGCATTTATATGACTTCTAGTTATTTATTAGAACATAAAAGATAAGATCTTAATATTCTCAAGGTTTTCATTTGATCATGAACTATATATATATGTGTGTGTGTATATATATATATATAGGGTTGGGTTCATGTGAGACCAATGGTTTTTCGTGAGACCCGTAAGACTAATTTATGTTCATTGATCAACTTTATAAACATATGATCTAATGGTCTAAAGTTGTACGGTGACAATTTTGTAATTATTGAGAAGTCTCGTGGCGTTTATGAATGTTCAGATCTGACGATTGTAGATCTAATCCAAGGGTTGAAAATTAATCTTACGGGTCTCACATGATCATATATATATCTATACTATATTATAATGCATTTGGCTAAAACTCTTAAA